TTAATGTTACTATAAAGTAATGGGGTAGAAATATCGGGTAAGAAGTGCTCGAGGTCTCATCAGAAGTAAGGATATGGGGAAAAGCAAAAACAGCTGTTGCTTCTCTCAGAAGTTTTCCGCACCCGTCGTCTTCTGATTTTCTGCGGCCTTGCAGATGCAGTTGATATTGTTGCAGTCAGCAGGAGTGGTGTCAGAAGGCATGGAATGAACCACCCGGGTTTTCTACTACTGGTTGTGCTCCTTGAATCGATCACTTACCGATGACCTTGGTAGAAAACCAAGCCAGGGAGTGGCTTTTTCCAAACCTCCTGGCACCGCCCTGACTGATTACAACGATATCAACTAAAAACGTGACGCACACTCCAAAAAAGGGTACTAATCGCGCTATAGACGTACCGTCTGGAAGAGTCTTCATAATGCACGGTTCGGAGAATACGCTGGGACCATCAGGATAAATGGCTCGGATTTTGAAGACATAGTCCGTGTCTGGCTGCAGCAAGTTCTGGATCCTATGCGAAAGTTTACTCGGATCATCGATGGCGATCTTGGACCTGAAACGACTTTCAATTAATTTTAACGGTCAGGTTTGATCTTGAAAAGTACACCGCTTCTAGGGATCGCTTAGTTGCGAGGGTAGTGTACGCAATAAGAGCGCGGATCAGCAGATCCAGTTGACGATGGAAAGAAATGCTCTAGCTGTCATGTCAGCTAACAGGGAACCTGACCCTGCTACTTTATTCGTGATGCCATTGCCCGAATCAGGGCACTCCAGCGACGGGGGGAATTTTGCACTTTTGCTGCATTCCATGGACGTGCCGACCCATCTACAGAGCCATTCCGTGAGCTTACAAGAGCTGAGGGTTCTATCATGGTGGCTTGACGAGCTTCTCCAGATTCACAAGAGTTCACAGGTTTCACCAGAGTGAGACTTGTAAACCGGAACTAGTGAAGCAGCGAAAGTGCAAAATGTCCCCTTCGCCGAACTGAGCCCCCGGATCTCCTAAACTGCACCCAGACAATATTGAACGCAGTGCCGCACTATGGCTAGTGAATATGTGCACCGACTTCAGGACTACTCTTGGCCAAAAATGCTGCAGATGTCTTGGTCCCAGGATAACAAACTCTGTGAACTTGGGAAGAAAGTCAAT